TTTTTGCAAGATCAACTTTATTGTTCATCATGCTGGACATGACGTCGAGAAGAGGGAGTTTGGTAGGCCGAGAAAAAGACAACAAATTGCATTCTAGACATCAACATTTCTACTCTTAGGATCACTCACTTTGACCTCGTTTCCAGATCGCCACTTGAACCCTGCACTTGAGATCAACTAAGGAAAAGTGATCAGCCAATTGCGCCACAAGACGATTCACCATTTCAGAGGGGGGAGGAAAAATGCAGTGCATATATATAACCTGTTTTAAGTCCACCTCAAGCGGCGTTCTAGAAATAGGCCTATATTTTATTTATTTATTTTTTTGAGGGCATGGATTTAGGTACGTTGGATGACTGACGTGGTGCAGATACTGCCCACGTTAAACCGACCATCCGTGTGTCCACTAAACCACTGTTAAACTTCATCGTACACAGTGTTCACTATAACCTATACGCATCCACTGTCTTGTATTCCTCACAAATCACCGCTCCGCACAGTGATCACCATATAAAGCATCCACGACACACTAACACACTAGAGTACTTCCTGGGGGGAATGTCCTAGGTCCTGGGCAAAGAGAAAGTGTGAATCCTGAGCTGCTATGAGGTTGAGCGAGCGTTACCCAAAAGAGTCGCTCAACCTAACCGCAGGAGGGATAGTCACCATCTTCCACAGAACACAGTATTATGCTAAACACTCCAGTGATGCTGCTGGCAAGGTAGGCGGTGACAGGGTCTAGGCAGGCATGGTCAGGGCAGAAAGGAAGGGTTTGAGGATGATCTCGACGGGCGTGGCCACAATCTCCGAGCCGAATTATCTGCGCATGACTTTTCTTCAATCTTTCAACGGCAAGCCAAACCTCGAGCTTGTAAAACCATTGGCTTCCGATGTGACATGGCTTTTTTCGACACTTTCTGTATCAATTTCTGTGTTCCTTCACTTTAATTTGTATTTCAGGAGTTCCAATAAGATTACTTGTATCATTCTATTACTTCATGCAGCTACAAATCACTGAAATACATGCTTATATATAAAAAAAGATTTTAAAAGTTTCACTATATGTACAATCTTTGTTTCCACGTCAGAGGGAAAAGAACCAGCAGAATGAAGTAAACTTGTCAAGGATAAATGTAGAGGACCTCCTTGGGAAGGAGAGGTAAGAAGTAGGAGCAAGTGCCCTGGCCAGGACCCAGTCGTAGCCTCGCCACAGTGGAGTGTAAACGGTGCCAAGTTATCCGTCTCTTGTGTGGTGGCACAAAAACACATCAGGGATATGCTAACATAAGAAATCACAGGCACGCAAACAAATCATACTTCAGAAATCGTTGACCTTACATGTTCGCTTTACATTAAATGTTACATTTGTGCCCAAAATACATGAGTACATGTATATATATGTATGTATATACAGTGTACATACACACTATATACACAACTGAGAATCTACACCTTCAACCAGACACTGAGAAAGAATGGCACGAGAGTTTTAAGGAAGAGGGGCTACAAGTACCGCTTAGAAGCAGCAGTTCGAAAGTACCAGACGTGCTAGTCAGAAGCACCAGTTAGAGGTACTAGTTAGAAGGAGTAGTATGTCAAATATTGATCAGATGTACCAGAGAGACTGGAAGAAATATTGGAGAGATTAAGCACGGTCTTGCCCCACCTCAGTCGAGCATTGCAGCGTGCAGTAATGGAGCACTGTATACTTTATAGAAGTGTATGCACATGGAGAAAAGTGTGTACATGGGGATGAAGTCTGCATGTATATTAGAGGATCATGCATACAAGCATCCTCATGCAAGTCGAGAGAAGTGTATGCACATGGAGGTAACTATGTGATAATCTGAAGGACTAACATGTGTAAGTGATAGGACAATTATGTACAACGTCAGGGAAGTGTGTCAGCTTGTGTGTAAACAATTATGTATGTATGATACCCATTTTCACAGAAGCACTTATACCCTCAGAGACAAAGATGAAGGTGAACACAGCTGGACTTTCGAGGCCCAACTAACAAACTGAACTAGACTGTGTTAGTGTGCTATATCAAGTGTAGCTCTTCCTGATTATTACTCAGCAGTGCCAACAACAGCACATAAGAATTTCAAATCTGCTGATTTTACCATGAGGGCTTTTGCACCTTAGTCTTATAAACGGATAATATGAAATGAAAAGCACTTCCTTCAGGGATATTTTAAAAACATCAATATGCAAACAAGTTGCCATCCCGAAGATTTGGTCTAAGGCGTCCGAGTTCAAAACTCGACTTCGTTTTAGCAAACACTCAAAACTGAACGGCCTTAAATTCTAGCACTCTGTACTTCAGTGAAGAAGACAATGACGAGTACAAACTCTGAACACTCTAGATGATAGAGAAAAGAACTCCCTTTATACCACAGACTGAGTTTACAGAAGTTAACAGAGGCTTTTGATGCCACTGGCAGAGCCACAAAGAGGAAAGGCCAAAAGTCTAAGACGCGGGTGTGAGGGCGTGAGAATGAGGGGAGAAAGTGATCTCATTTCTAATGTGAACAATTATGTTAGTGAATCGGACATACAAATACAGGTGATTGAACTATTTCTCAATTCAATTTCCTAATCACTGCAACTAATCTGAAATATACGTCAATCATTAAAAGATATCTTTAGCTGTCAGTCACAGACGGCCAAAAACCAGTGCACAGTAAAGATGACTGTTCAGTCAAAGAACATCTTTACCGCTATTCCAGTCTCTATAGAGTCATACAATATTTACACAGATCATTGTACATCTCCTCATGTAAATTTATTAGTGTACAGGCAACCCATTCACTTTTATTTGGTATGGCAGTACAGAGAAAGGGTTCCTGTCAAAGAGGGATCAGAAGTTTACAAAAGTTATTTGGGTGGACTAGAAGTTTTGTTATTGACTGGCCATTTCAGCTAAATATGATCATCGAAACTATCTTAAAAATGTGGCATGATAGCTAAACCTTCCCGTCTTTATCATAAAGCCCAAGTTATTGTAATATTTCTGCACTAATAAAGTTATTAAAGAAAGATCACACTCCTAGAAAGTTAAGTGTGCTCACCCTCACTCACGCTCGCACACTCACCGGAGTTGCTCATTGTCAGGATGAAGTTCTAAGTTTTAAGAGTGTTTTATTGTAACCTCAGATAATCGACATGAATCTCGTCTTCCCCCCAAAAAAGGCTAGAGTTATCAACGTTTATCGTGAAACACTTTTGTTCCGTTTTGAAATCCGCGACGAAAACCTGATAAAAGTTGATAAGTCACAAAAATTCAAGGAAAGAAGACCAAATTTTTTTGTTTTTTTTGTTTTTTGCTTTTTTTTGTAACTTGATATTGACTAGACAACCTGATTATGATAACCACTAGATGACCTTGTCGGTGTTCATCTTCCATCAGGGCGTATCCATCCTCCCAGGAGATGTGCACCAGTGGCTTAATGATAAATTCTCATGCATTAAAAAACGTCTAAATTTGAGTAGGGAAACTCCATCGGCAGTTCTGTGTTATGGGAGGAGGAATAGGCCCGCGTGACCTACAACTTGGCCCCTGGAGTGTGATGATACCTATTTGTACAAAAACTTAGCAAAAATTCTAGCAAATTGATTTAAGCCTGATGTAGTGAAACTTTTTGATTACACCCTCCTTAGGAATTATTAGTGTCACGTCACTGGAAAAAAATCACACAATCAAGAGGACCACAAGGACCTGCTCCAGGGGCTCCTTCATTAAGGGCTTTGATTCACAATTTCCCTTCTGTAGGTGGAGTATCTGATTGGCTTCTGGCATACTTGCAAGGTGTTTGGTGTATTTCATCTTTACCTAGTGTACGGTGCATCTCACAGCATCCGTCAGTTACAGCCCATGTCAGCCCCTTCATCAGAACGGCACTGATGGCAATAGTGATGCTAAAATTTACAGACTAACAGACACGCTAACTACCTATTCTGATTGATTTATCTTATATACATTTACATACAGAAAATACAGACTGTACACAGTTTTCCTTCCTATGTCCACCTTGTCAGATGGTTGTGTTGTGTGCACACAGACTGACAGCCTTCACTATGAGCAACCTTGTGAAGGTGAGTCTCCTAAAATCCCCGCTGAGGGAACACCCACTGAAGACATGAACTACATGGGGGAAAACATAGGGCGAGGGATCGTCTACCAGATCTTGGAATATCATTGAGTATACCAAGATCAGTGTCTATCAATGATATGTGCTACCATGGAAAACTACTTGCCAGCACGTGGAGACAACTGCCTCTGTCATCAAAAGGGGAATTGAATCCACCCAATGGACTATTTTCATTGGAGAAGAAAGAGAAAAATAGTTACAATTGCCTGGCTACAGTGACTGCCCCAAACTTAAACTGCATCTTTTCCACTACAGTAAACTTCAGAGTCAGGCAATTTTCTTATAATATAAAATGCAAATATTTATTGAGGTCAGAAGTGTTAATTCTTCCCTTCCCTTTTTTTTGAAACAGCAGAGGAAATTTTAAAAAAAGATCATTACAAACATATTAGTAATCACTGTAGGTGCAGCAACAGTTCAACAAACTTCCCTCATGCTGTTAAGTCATACTGAGTAAATGTCATTCCTTTCATAAAACCTAATCCCACAACCAACACATTCCTCCTTTGTCATCTTTGTTCACAGTATGCAGTTCATCACAACAATGCCATCTGCTTGTCACTGTCTGGAGATTCCACAGTTATTGGAGAAGTGGAAAAAAACGTCCCTCATTTCAGCACAAAATGTGACGTCTTAAAACTCATGTACAGAGACATACGTAAACTCATAAAAACCAGAACCTCGTCATTTCAATATACATCATAACACAGCCAGGTAGCAAAATAGTCTGTTTTCTATAATATATATGCTACACTATGGTATTACTGGAAGTCCTGCCACTCACAATGGACACAATAAGTAAAAACTATTATCAGTTTACAGACCTGCTTGGTGACTGGCCTAATACTGAACACGAGGAGCAGGATTACCTACTGATCTAAGTATATTCTGATGAGACTTCTGTTTATCCATTTTTTTTTCTCCTATGACATGTTGGCAAATATAAATTATAATTTCTTTTCTACAGATACTCATCTTTAAAGTTTCATAAATGACTCTATATATACATTATGAGTAATGACAGAGAACGTGGTTTTATGCTTAGTTAACAACCATTTTTTTTCTTTCTCTCTTTCTCTCTCTACAACCTTGTTCATACAACCTGCTTCTGCCTAAACCAAATAACCATGTGCATTAATAATGAGAAGAATATTGCTTAAAAATGTAATACAGAGATAGCAAAGAATCCCCAAGATTTACGAGGACTTCCTAGTTATTTCACATCCATTCGCAGATGTTGCACAACCTGATGCAGACGTTATGGTAGCAGCTAATTTGATTGAAGATTTCAGTGTCCTTTCTGGAAAAGAAAAGAAAAGAAAAATGGATTATTAGTCTTCGGTAGGTAACAAATTCGGATAGCTCTGAAGTAAAAACTATCCAAATAAAACTTTAATTGTAGAAATGAAGTAACTTTAATTGTATATACATTTTATATACAAGAAACACTAATGTATGAAATAGTTCTCAGTGATCCTCGCACTGTCTGTGTCTTTTTCCTAAGAATGATAAGCCTTGAGACAAACATAACAAGTGGTGAACCTCATAAGCTTCTTGGGTTGTCATATTTTTTTTTCTAAGAATACCCTCCAAAGGCATTCCATATAAAATTGTTTATGGAAGAGAGAAGCGACAGGATTAGAATGTTTTTATCTATTCATTTATTTATCTTAATTCCAGGAAATATATATAAAAGCAGTTTACGCCATGTAACTCTCTCATAATGAGTAAGATATCCACCATATGTTCAAATTTTGAACACAATATCTCTTTCTCAAAACATTAATCCTTCACACACACACACACACACACACACACACACAAACACACACACACACATAGAGAATCCATCCTTCCTGCCACCCATTTAATGACCTTCCCTAATTCCCCAGCCCCCATTTTTATCACCTTCCTCTCACCTCCTCCCCATACACAGCAACACGCACTCACTCTCACCATTTTAGAGGTGCGTTCGCGCCGCTGAGCCGTCCGAGGGCGCCTCTTCCGTGCTCTCCTGAGGGCGTGGGGGGGAGAGAGAGAAAAAAAAAAACATTGCTCTTAATTCCTGTCTACAATTAGCCTCCTTGTCAGACAATGTGAATGCAAATAACCCTAGCGTTGCGGTAATGAGGGTTAATTATACCTCTATGTACACTTGGTTAGAGGATCCCTTGGGGGGCGACCACACAGCGCCTCGCTCGAGTGTGAAGTGCGAGGCCAAGGGAAAGCGGAGATGGAGGAGGGAGGGAAGAAGGAATAAAAGGAATAAAAGGAATAAAAAGGTAAAGAGGAAAGGGAGTGGAAGACCAAGGGAAAGCGGAGATGGAGGGAGGAGGGAAGAAGGACTGAAGAGAAGGAAAGGACGAGGGAAGAAAGAGGTAAAGAGGAAAGGGAGTGGAAGACCAAGGGAAAGCGGAGACGGAGGAAGGGGGGAAGAAGGACTGAAGAGAAGGAAAGGACGAGGGAAGAAAGAGGTAAAGAGGAAATGGAGTGGAAGACCAAGGGAAAGCGGAGACGGAGGAAGGAGGGAAGAAAGACTGAAGAGAAGGAAAGGACGAGGGAAGAAATGGGTAAAGTGGAAATGGAGTTTAAGACCAAGGGAAAGCGGAGACGAAGGAAGGAGGGAAGAAGGAGGGAGGTGAAAGAGAGGACGAGGGAAGACAGTGATAAAGAGGGAGTGGATTATGTGGCCAAGGGGAAGCAGAGAGGAGGAGGATAGGTCGAAGGACTGGAGAGAAAGGGAGGATGAAGAAAGTGATAAAGAAGGAATGGGAAAAAATGACGAGGGAAGAAGGAAATGACAAAGTAGGATGAAATGTGAGAAGGGAAAGAGAAGAGCAGGAGGATGGGGTGAAGGACTAATGAGAAAGGGAGGACGAACGAAGAAGAAAATGATAAAGAGAGAATGGAGTGTAAAGCGAAAGCGAAGAGGACGAGGATAGAATGAAGAAGCACTGAGGAGAAAAAAAAAGGAAGAAGCAAAGGATAACAAGGAGATGGAGTGAACGGAATACGAAAAAGGGAAGAATGGGATGATGAAGGACTGAAGAGAAAGAAAGGACGAGGGAAGAAAGAGGTAAAGAGGAAATGGAGTGGAAGACCAAGGGAAAGCGGAGACGGAGGAAGGAGGGAAGAAAGACTGAAGAGAAGGAAAGGACGAGGGAAGAAAGAGGTAAAGAGGAAATGGAGTGGAAGACCAAGGGAAAGCGGAGACGGAGGAAGGAGGGAAGAAAGACTGAAGAGAAGGAAAGGACGAGGGAAGAAAGAGGTAAAGAGGAAATGGAGTGGAAGACCAAGGGAAAGCGGAGACGGAGGAAGGAGGGAAGAAAGACTGAAGAGAAGGAAAGGACGAGGGAAGAAAGAGGTAAAGAGGAAATGGAGTGGAAGACCAAGGGAAAGCGGAGACGGAGGAAGGAGGGAAGAAAGACTGAAGAGAAGGAAAGGACGAGGGAAGAAAGAGGTAAAGAGGAAATGGAGTGGAAGACCAAGGGAAAGCGGAGACGGAGGAAGGAGGGAAGAAAGACTGAAGAGAAGGAAAGGACGAGGGAAGAAAGAGGTAAAGAGGAAATGGAGTGGAAGACCAAGGGAAAGCGGAGACGGAGGAAGGAGGGAAGAAAGACTGAAGAGAAGGAAAGGACGAGGGAAGAAAGAGGTAAAGAGGAAATGGAGTGGAAGACCAAGGGAAAGCGGAGACGGAGGAAGGAGGGAAGAAAGACTGAAGAGAAGGAAAGGACGAGGGAAGAAATGGGTAAAGTGGAAATGGAGTTTAAGACCAAGGGAAAGCGGAGACGGAGGAAGGAGGGAAGAAAGACTGAAGAGAAGGAAAGGACGAGGGAAGAAAGAGGTAAAGAGGAAATGGAGTGGAAGACCAAGGGAAAGCGGAGACGGAGGAAGGAGGGAAGAAGGACTGAAGAGAAGGAAAGGACGAGGGAAGAAAGAGGTAAAGAGGAAATGGAGTGGAAGACCAAGGGAAAGCGGAGAGGGAGGAAGGAGGGAAGAAGGTGGGAAGAGAAAGAAAGGACGAGGGAAGAAAGAGGTAAAGAGGAAATGGAGTGGAAGACCAAGGGAAAGCGGAGACGGAGGAAGGAGGGAAGAAAGACTGAAGAGAAGGAAAGGACGAGGGAAGAAAGAGGTAAAGAGGAAATGGAGTGGAAGACCAAGGGAAAGCGGAGACGGAGGAAGGAGGGAAGAAAGACTGAAGAGAAGGAAAGGACGAGGGAAGAAAGAGGAAAAGAGGAAATGGAGTGGAAGACCAAGGGAAAGCGGAGAGGGAGAAAGGAGGGAAGAAGGTGGGAAGAGAAAGAAAGGACGAGGGAAGAAAGAGGTGAAGAGGAAATGGAGTGGAAGACCAAGGGAAAGCGGAGACGGAGGAAGGAGGGAAGAAAGACTGAAGAGAAGGAAAGGACGAGGGAAGAAAGAGGTAAAGAGGAAATGGAGTGGAAGACCAAGGGAAAGCGGAGACGGAGGAAGGAGGGAAGAAAGACTGAAGAGAAGGAAAGGACGAGGGAAGAAAGAGGTAAAGAGGAAATGGAGTGGAAGACCAAGGGAAAGCGGAGACGGAGGAAGGAGGGAAGAAAGACTGAAGAGAAGGAAAGGACGAGGGAAGAAAGAGGTAAAGAGGAAATGGAGTGGAAGACCAAGGGAAAGCGGAGAGGGAGAAAGGAGGGAAGAAGGACTGAAGAGAAAGAAAGGACGAGGGAAGAAAGAGGTAAAGAGGAAATGGAGTGGAAGACCAAGGGAAAGCGGAGACGGAGGAAGGAGGGAAGAAAGACTGAAGAGAAGGAAAGGACGAGGGAAGAAAGAGGTAAAGAGGAAATGGAGTGGAAGACCAAGGGAAAGCGGAGACGGAGGAAGGAGGGAAGAAGGACTGAAGAGAAGGAAAGGACGAGGGAAGAAAGAGGTGAAGAGGAAATGGAGTGGAAGACCAAGGGAAAGCGAAGATGGAGGGAGGAGGGAAGAAGGACTGAAGAGAAGGAAAGGACGAGGGAAGAAAAAGGTAAAGAGGAAATGGAGTGGAAGACCAAGGGAAAGCGGAGATGGAGGAAGGAGGGAAGAAAGACTGAAGAGAAGGAAAGGACGAGGGAGGAAAGGGGAGAGGAGGGGGGAGGGGGGAGGGAGGGGGGGTTACAGTAGGTAGGGTAGAAAGGATAAGAAATAATCAAATAAACAAGTTAATAGAGCCCTTGATTCATTATCTTCTACCTCTCTCCTGGGTTACAATATCGAACACCGCCACCACGACGAATAAAGCGGAATGTAAAAAGCAATAAACCAAATCCCGGGTTTCTATCAATTTTTACTGCCTCCCCCCCCCCCCCCCAAAAAAAAAAAAAAAAAAAAAAAAAAAAAAAAAAAAAACAGGTTCCCAAGAAAGCAAGAGCTGGGAGCATCAAATGATAACGTAGAGTATGTAGCTCTGAACTCGAAATACAAATTTGCGCCGAATGACACGTTAGCTGTGATGAGCGTCCTCGTCTCCGCCATTAACTCCCGGGTGCGAGTTCTCATAAATTCCGGCTGCACTCTAAGCCCTTTTATTCGGACCACTCTAACGACGCTCGAACTGTGCGAATAAGGATGATATCAGCCGGTAAGGCGATATACGATGCAAGGAACGAATAACTAAATAAACTTATAAATAAACAAATAAATCAAATAAATATGCATCATAATTTCTTCAACATCCCGTCATTCTCGCTTAACATTCTCCGGGAAAATAAAAAAATATATTTTTCCCGATTGACAGCCTATATACCGCCATCATTTTTCCCCACAGAACCCTAATCAACACCGATTCCCTTCAACTCAAATTTCACAAAGCGTCGCCAAAAACTCAAAAAACCAATCGCCGCACGAAAAAGGGAAATAAAAGAATAAAAACCGCCACTAGGCTGACGTAACTCACCCGCGTGGCTGACAAACGCCGCCACGCTTCGGATGCACCATTCTCACTCGCCCGAAGCGGAACGAGAAGAAAACGATACAGCAAATAAAAAATACATTAACTTTGTCATTATCATTCACATTGGACAAAGCGAGAGAGGAGGGATGGAAGAAATAAGAGATGGAAGGGAGAGGGGAGAGGGGAGAGCAGAGAAAAGAGAGACGAGAGAAAAGAGAGGATAGGAGAAAAAAGAGAGGAGAGGAGAGAAAAGAGAGGAAGAAATAAGAGATGAAGGGAGGGAGAGGAGAGGGGAGAAAAGAGAGGAGAGGAGAAAAAAGAGAGGAGAGAAAAAGAGGAGAGCAGAAAAAAGAGAGGAGAGGAGAGAAAAGAGAGGAGAGGAGAGGAGAGAAAAAGAGGAGAGCAGAAAAAAGAGAGGAGAGGAGAGAAAAGAGAGGAGAGGAGAGGAGAGAAAAGAGATGAGAGGAGAGAAGAGAAAAGAGATGAGATGAGAGAAAAGAGAGGAGAGAAGAGAAAAGAAAGGAGAGGAGAGAAAAGAGATAGATATATAAATAGATAGATAGAGAAAGAGAGAGAGCGAGAGAGAGAGAGAGAGAGAGAGAGAGAGAGAGAGAGAGAGAGAGAGAGAGAGAGAGAGAGAGAGAGAGAGAGAGAGAGAGAGAGAGAGAGCGAGAGTGCGAGAGAGCGAGAGCGAGAGCGAGCGAGCGAGCGAGCGAGCGAGCGAGAGAGAGAGAGAGAGAGAGAGAGAGAGAGAGAGAGAGAGAGAGAGAGAGAGAGAGAGAGAGAGAGAGAGAGAGAGAGACGAATCCTGGAGCTACCGAGCAATCCGCCTTATCGCCGTGTCCCATCGGCGGCGCCTGGACCCGCCCCTTTCCCCTAGAAGCGACCTGAGGCCTCTCCGCCTCGACCGCACGATGGCTCTCCCGCTGCCCCTCCGACCGAGAGATAGCGTCAACGAAGCCAGCCATGATCCTCTGAGCCTTGAAAATAAATCATGCAATCATCTCGCTCGAATCTGGTGGCCGCTTTTGTTTCGGGGAACAAGCCTCTCGCGGCGCGGCCATAAATTCCTGGCCACAATTAGTAAACCACAAGTGAGTCCCTCTGGCCCTGGCGTCGTCGCGTCCAAAGGCCCCGGCGAAGGAGGGTGGCGGCGACCTCTGCTCTCGTTCGTTTTATTCGGCGGAACCGGACTGATGTCTCTGATTTATGGCTCTTGGCTTTAATTTGTTTGCTTAATTCATCGCCTGTGAAAGTTCGCGCAGTTTACAGGGGTTTTACTGGGGGTCTATATTATTCTTTCCAGACAGTTATCTGATGTAGCGTATTAAAGAGAAAAATCGCATTTCTTTTAAGAAATTTACTGTATATTGTATATTTTAGGGGTGTGTGTGAAAAGCATTAAATCGGCAGAAAGCAAAAACAAAACAAAGCAAACACTTCATTCGTTTCTCACAATAATTCAGATCACTCAAAATAAATAAACAATAAAACAAATCTCATCACCCTGGCAGGTCGGAAAAGGATAAAAGTGTAGACGAGAAAGAAGGGGGGGGGAGAGAGAGAGAGAGAGAGAGAGAGAGAGAGAGAGAGAGAGAGAGAGAGAGAGAGAGAGAGAGAGAGAGAGAGAGAGAGAGAGAGAGAGAGAGGAGAGAGAGAGAGAGAGAGAGAGAGAGAGAGAGAGAGAGAGAGAGAGAGAGAGAGAGAGAGAGAGAGAGAGAGAGAGAGAGAGAGAGAGTGAGAGAGAGAGAGAGAGAACGAGCGAGGAAATAAGAACTTGTTTTTAGATGATATAAATCGCGATCTTTCACTGAAGGAGGGAGGAGGAGGGAGGAGGAGGGAGGGGAGGGAGGGAAGGGGTAATAAGGAGGAGACATACCTGCAAGGGGGGCGGGGTGTCGGGGGGCGTGGCGTCCAACTTGATGTCTGTGGCGGCGTATTCCTGACTGAGACGCACCCGGTCCTCGCCCTGGAAGGAGGCCAAGAGATCGTTGGTTTTTCATTTTTGGGAAGGATGTCTGAATGAGGCGAAAGGCTGGGGAAGGAGGCAGACAGGAAGAGGGAGAGGGAGAGATCACAGTAGAAGCTGAAGGAGAGGTAGTGGTAGAGGGAATGATTGATTATTTTAAAATATCTGCTGCGTCAACAGGAGGTAGAGGGAGACAGAGAAGGAAAAGGAAAACGAAAAGGAAAAGGAAAAGGAAAGAGCGAGGGAGTGGAAGAGAGAAGTGTGGAATGAAAAAAATGTTGGGAGCAATATGTTTTCAACACCACCGGGTACGTGATAATGGGATCTAAAATGAAAATAAAAATCGTTTTTTAGTCATGGAAAATACTTTAAAAAGATAAGAAAAGTCATGTAAATTTGAATATGTGTCTTACACCCTCCCTGACAATCTTTCTCAAATTATCCTCAATGTGAAGGTCTTATTTATTTTCTTTCTGATACCAAGAAGAAAGTTATCAATTAATTCTTTGTCCTAGTTTACCCCTTACTGTTTTCAAAACGAAAAACTTTTCAATTTATGCTCTTACAGCTTCATATAACATTAATTAAGTAACGATTACCTCCTAAAGGCAGCATCTGACTCACATAAATATATATCTGTATCTGGAATGGATATAATACTAACCCTGGACTTGCAAATGATAACAGGATTATTCAAAATTGTTCAAATAAATTGTGTGCTCTCATCCTGCTCTAAGAGATTCTCCTAGTGGCCTTGTACATTTAAAAACCAGGACTCGACTTTTATTACCTCTTAAAGATGACTGTATTATGAGCAAAAGTCCTAATCAGGGACGTAAAAATAACCGGTTGAAACAGGGAGATGAATCTGGTTATATATCTCATGAAGCAGCCTGGGGCAAGGAAAGGCTACTCCACGCCTAAGGCAATTCTACATTACAGTTTTCCTCATATCCAAGATAACTTAGCTAACCGTTACTGAGTTTTCAGTTTTCATAAAATCTATGTAAAGGGAATGCCCACTACAGTATTTCAGTGATGGGAAGTGACAGCATCCAGCTTGTTATAATAATATATACACTAGGTAAACTACACAAAGAATATAATTTGTTTTCATGCCAATTCTGAAAATTATGCAAATTCCATCTGGTGAACTAAAAAGATATTTCTCCCCCTCGACTAGACCTTTGTATTAAAATTTATATAAGAAACATCTGTTTACTTTCCTTTTCTCTCACTTTCTTTTCTTTTTGAAGAACTCCCATAGATCCTCTACTTAACCACTATTGCATGGCACACTTTGCTCTTTGTTCTGATTAAGTGTGTTTTTCTGACACTTGGCAACCTAAATCATATATCTTTTTTGATATAAGTAAGTCCTGTAAGACATTAGAATAACAAAAGAAAAATCTCTTGTTTTGTTTGTCATGTAAGCAGTAATTTAGCAAATAACTAATTGCTCCAGGTTAGTCAAAAGTAATGAACCACAATCACTATATAGTTTCAAAGGGATATTTGGCAAGAATGGACTTACACCTGAAAAAAATGTTTGTAAATGTAGTTCATCAATCCTATCAGACTGCTTGACAAGGTTATTGATCATTTTTTTTCAGGAAAGGAACATTACTTTTAATTACTAAAATATATAATCTACATCACACAACACCCAGAAGTCAGATATTCTAATACCCAGACTGTCACAAAGAAAGGACACCTTGGAAGAATTAAAGTATGCAACGCCAATAGCATGACAGTCTCCAAAGATTTTACCCTGTTTGTGTAGCAGCAACCAGTAAAAGATGATACATGTGTGTTTGAAAGATGACCTCTGCATCTTTAATAGCCATAAGTCAACAAGTTTATTACAAGCTATAAAATATTTTTCACAGAGGTATGATCCTCTTTTAAACCCAGCCTATTTTGGTGGTGCAGGCAGATCTGTATGCAAATCACAGTTGGCAGGAATGCAATATCCCCAGAGGCTGTTGTGTAAGCACAACCATCAAGAATAAGAAGTAAGAAAGTAAAGTAAGCATAGTAAAAAAATACAACATACTAGTCTTCTTGTTAATGTGTAAATGAGACAGAGAAATATGCATTTCTGAATAAGAATAAGGGTGAATGATCTACAATTATAACTAAAAACAAATCTAATCACTAATTTCCCTTCAGACATATCATAATGTAATTAAACAATATGGAAATGTCACTGTGTTTTAACAGCATCATGTAAATATATTACTCACTTGATGTTTAATGGCCTCAAGTAATTTGCTGCGCTCCTTTTTGAGGCTATCGATCTCCTGGGCTGTCCTGGAGCATCGTACTCCTCCCACTTCCAAGAGTGCAAGATGAGCATCTTTCTCACTGAGAGCAGACGTTAAAGCTTCATGCCTATAGGGAAAAGGGGAGAGAAGAGTGCAGGAAATAATTAATATCATACTAGAAAAAAAAGGAATATAACTCTTCCTCTAAAAAAAAAGAAAAGAAAGAAAAAGAAATTTATGATACTGAATGAAATATAAAAGAATAATGAAGATATCCCTTCATGTAGAAGCAATTACTTCTCTTTTCCTATTCCAGAGTTGAAAATGATCCACTACACTCACTTCATATCAAACAATTCCTGTAGGTGGTGTCGACGTTCACTGACTAGGTTATTATGTCTGGCCTCCAACTGCGATAACCGTTGCCTCAGTGGACGGCACGAAGTACACCGGAGATTTTGAGCATTCTGGGCACTTGCCAATCGGACCTCAAGCTTACTTAACTGTGGAAAGGATGTATCAATTAGGGAATAATACAGTACAAATGACATATATATTACACTTTTCTGTACATCAAATTCCCAACAATCGGTAACTAAAATCATAGCTAATTAAAAATAAAATGTATTGATATCTACGTTAGATTCAGATATGTACATATTTATGATACTTAATAAATCAATTATATAAACATAGAGACAGACTAAA